CTGCTCCTCCCAGCAGATGTCTGGGTAATTAAAATCGCCCATGACCACTACATCCCTTGATTTTAGTGCCTCTGCAAGCTGGCCTGAAAATTCCCTGTTCAGCTCCTCCTTTTGGTTGGGGGGTCTGTAGTAGACCCCCACCGTCAAATCCCTCTCCCCCTGCCCCCCCTGAATCTTGACCCAGAGCACTTCAGCTTGCCCTTCCTCTGACCCCATTCTGCTGGCAGAGGATGTGTAGTGCTCCTTGACATAGATTGCCACCCCCCCTCCTTTCCTACCTTCTCTATCGCGCCTGTACAGCCTATAGCCCCTAATGTTAACTGCCCAGTCATGGGACGAGCATGGTGTTGGCGAGGGGTGGCAGGGTGGCAAGCTCTGATCAGCAACCACCCACAGACACCACCAGCAGCAACAGCAGTGGCCAGCAGAGATCAGCAACCACCTGCAGATGCCACCGGCAGCAGTGAGAGGGAGAGCGGGTGGTGAGCAGCAACTGTCTGCAGGCACCACTGGCAGCGACTGCCAATCACAAGGGGTGCACGTACATTTGTGTTCACCCCCTATGTGTTGCCAGTGGATACAAGTCCTACCCCTGAGGGTCTATCCATCATGGTATTCTTTCCCTGTTGCACTGTTCCCATCTATATCTGGACTGTATCTTTTCCCCAAGCTGGCTCTTTTCCACCTCCACCCTTTGCAACTGGGTTCACAATGTGTCACTCTCCTTGGTTTTACCTCTTGCTTCTGCCTCGAAGGATTGCATCTGGTCCTACAACACACCTTCTCTCTGTTCTCTGACTTTCTCCATTTCTCTTGACATGACCTTTCCCATCTCCTCTGACTGGATATGGCTTTGGATTAACTCTCTCCACATCTCTTGTTCTAATTGGAAGTATCACTGTTGCCCACTCTCCAGCTTGTCATGCAACTCCTCTACCTGATCCTCTTGACTCTGCAGTTGTTTCTTGATGGTCCCTACAAGGTGTTCTGATTCTTCAATCCATTGTGCAAAATCTCATTTAGTTATTTATTTTCCACTGCCTGGGCTGCACTGGCTTTGGACAGGTTCAGCATCAGCACCACCACCTCCTGCATCTTGTGCAACTTTTCTTCTTGCTTTCTGCTTTTCTCAGCTTCGTTCAGGATGAGTTGTTCCAGCACTCAAGTTTTTTCAACCTTGACTGTACTCAGACATCTGACTTCTTTGGGTCCTCCTTCCTTCTTTCAAGATTGCAAACTCAGTTCTAATTCAGACACTTTTGCCTTGGCCTGCTTGTTTTTGAACCTCACTATTTCTAGCTCCCGTTGTAAGTGGGCCACTCTTTCCTCCACCTCATCTGCCTGCAACTGCCAGTTAGGGTCTCTTGCTCTAAAGCTTCCATAGTCTCTAGCTCTGCCATGTTGTTGTCATTTTTTTTCCTTATCCTCTCTTCCTTTTCTCCCCTCTCCACTGGGAAGAGGAACCCCCTGACCTAGGTTTTTACTTTCAGTTTCCTACAGCAGTATTTTTTTACCCTCAGCTCCCTCTCCTGAGCTCTGGCACTGCTGGCTTATGATAAGACTCTCAGGGTTCCTATACTAGCCCAAGGGTTCACTTCCCTTCTCAGGGTCGTGGTTTTCTTCCAATGCACCAGTTGTCATGGGTTGGGGTCCTGAGAGTTAGACATGAAGATTCACAGATTCATAGACATTAGGGCTGGAAGGGACCTCAGAAGATCATCGAGTCCAGCCCCCTGCCCAAAGGCAGGAAGTCAGCTGGGGTCATAGGATCCCAGCAAGATAAGCATCCAATTTACTCTTGAAGGTGTTCAATGTA